CCCCCCCCCCCCCCCCCCCCCCCCCCCCCCGGCCCCAGCAAGGCCTGTGGCCAAAGGAGCCTGAGCCCTATTCTGAAGAAGGCTGGTTGGAGAGAAGGGCAGAGCCAGCTAGTGTTTTGGACTGTGGTTTTAGTTCAGCAGAGTCAAGGGCTCTGAGCATCTTCAGGGAGGGGAAAGATGGCCCTGAAAGGACAACGGAGGGACATTTTGCTGAGGCCAGCTTTGAAGGAGACTGGTCTGTCCCTCCCTCTAACCCTCTGTAGGAAAGATAACTGGAGACAGTATTTAATTCTACCCATATTTATTGCTACCAACTTGTCTCCCTCCACCCCCTCATATTTACATTCAACCCCTTCCCCAAAGCTAGTTTTTACCATAGTCCCTGGTAGTAGTTCGAGAAGTGTGTCCACTAAGCAGGCAGTCCTAGATGTAGTTAGTGGGTACTGTTTGTCCCCAGGCCAATTGGGCACCAGGGAAGGCTACTCTGGAGATTCAGGGCACAGACTTGGTACTGGGGTCAAGGGAGGCCTCTACTAATAGATAGTCTCCTTTTCTCTAGGAGCTCAGGGTACATCAAAACCATTGGCAAAGCAAAGTTGGGGTAGCTGAGTCCCCAGTGTCAAGCTTAGTGCTTTCTTTGCTTGTAAGGACCCACAGAAGTGGCCAAGTCTGGACCCTGACCTGCATCTGGCTTCGGAGGGCAGTTCTGTCCTGGGAAGCCAGGTCTGAACATTTGCCATCAGCCTCGCGGGCAGTCTTCTTTGAAGGGGCCAGGAATGAAAGGGCGCATACATATCGTATGAGGTACGGGCATTGTTTTAAGCTGGGGGAAGATGCAGCTTGGCTTGAGTTACATGGAGAGGGATGAAATGGATGAGCAGGAGGAGCCATTTCATTTGGAAGCCTGAGGCCCCTCCGGCCCCCTCAGTAAACCCCACTGGTGTCCAGGTCCACAGGTAACAGGAGAGCAGACACTTAATGTCACAGAATGTCAGAGTTGGCAAGGCCTTCAGTGACTACCCATTCTAACTCCAACAAGTCCTAAGGGGAAGGCACTTGGTTCAGGTCTCACGGTAATTTAGTGGCCAAGTCTCTAAGAAAGTTAAGGAGAAGGAAAGTGGGAATAGTATTTGTGGCTTTCTTCAAACCTTATTTAGGGAAATCTGGATCCATCCATGATTAACAGGAGTCCTTTCAAATGGCCAGCTTCCCTGGGGTGTTAACACTTACCTGAAACATTGGCTTGGCCCCCTTTTTTAGGAGCACTCTGACAGGGGTAGGTGGTGTGGGGCAAGGAGGGTTTGGGGGCCTTGGTGGTGAGGAGCATGAGCAGGGTCCCTCTGCACCCTACTTGCTGTGGCCGTGGCCGTGGCCATGGCAGGCGGTGCCGGGAGGGGCTGTGCTGTCAGTCTCTGGTGGAAGGAGGGGGTTGGGCACGCGGGATATGCCCTCGGGCGGCTCCTCATCCACTCCTGCTGAGCCTATAGGGCTTTGGTCCAGCCTCTGTGGCCCTAAGTGCCCCTGGGGAAGCAGGGCCAGGCTTGGCGCCAGTCCTCTGGGCCTGGGCTGCCACGGGAGGCGGGGCCCATCACCGCAGCCTTTATAGCTTGGGCCCAGCCTCAGCCTGCACCATCTCCACCTCAAGGTGCCCCGGCCAGGGAGAGGCCCTGCAGCTGCTCCTCGGTGCCTGCCAGCTCTGCCTCATCGCGCCCGCTCTCTGAGCCCTCGAAGCAGCCGGAGTCGCGTGGGATGTCCACCTTGGGCTCTGACATTGTGTGTGCCATTGGCTCCTGGCTACTCTCGGCACCTTCTTCTGCCTCCTCACTGCCAGCTGACAGGGGTGAGGCAAGGAGACAGACTATGGGGGGCTTGGTCCTTAGCTGTGGGGTTAGAATCCCTGGGGAGCCCCGTTGTTAGGGTAGGGACCTGGGAAGTCTGCTATAGGCAGTCTCTCCCTCTGGGTATCCGCCTCCACCCTGGCCCTCTTCCCACCACTTCCAGCTTAGAAGCAGGTGGAAGTTGTTTCCAGGCCAGCTCCATGGCCTGGGAGCTCAAACTTCTTCGGCACTAAGCTGGAGCCAAGCAACCTGGGCTGGAATCCTGGCTCTGTTATTACCCAGCTTTGAGGCCTCGGGTGAATGACTTACCTTCTCTGGCCTCCGGTCTCCCCTTTGATTCAAAAGGGGGTTGGGCCTGATCATTCCTATATATATCCCCCTACAAACTTTCCCTGAAAGTGCCTTCCCACTGCAGAGGGGCCCCGAGGCATAGTGTGTTCAGGTGTCAGGGACAGGGCAGGCCTCCCCTTTCTGGAAAGCCAGGGGGCACACCCACCCTCTACCCCGCTCCTTGAGCCACTCACTGTCATAGTCCAGCAGCAGCTCAGCAGCTGTGAGCAGCTTGGCCCGGTGCTGTGGGTCCATGATGTTCAGCTCATTGAGGTGTGTTTCCCGCAGCTCTTTGAAGTCCTCCAGTGTCTGGTAGCCATTGAGCAGCAGGGTGGACGTATGCTCCTGTAGGCAGGGGTGGGCCACCAGCACAGCTGCTTACAAGCCACCCCTGCCTAGGACCTCCCCCCTTTCTTTTTTTTTTTTTTTTATAAACCGGTAAGGGGATCTCAACCCTTGGCTTGATGTTGTCAGCACCACGCTCAGCCAGTGGGCTAACCGGCCATCCCTATATAGGATCCGAACCCGTGGCCTTGGTGTTATCAGCACCGCACTCTTCCGAGTGAGCCACAGGCCGGCCTGGACCTCCCTCCTTTCACACACACATAACTGTCATTCCCTGGTCCCCATCCCAGGGGCAAGTGTGCCTCCCTTGATATTACTGCAGGTCCAAGCTCAAACCTCCAAGCCGATGCGCTCCAGCAGCTCGTGCAGAGTCTTAGGCTTGGGCCTCTTGCCCTTGCTCTGTCGGCGGCTGGGGCGGGCAGGCCCCACAGCCTCCTCAGGCAGCACATCCACATAGATGAATTTGAAAGAGCCCAGCTTGCCATTTAGCAGGCCCAGCCACGTGCCCACGGGTGGCTTTTCAATGATCTGGATCATATCTCCTTTCTGTGGGAGGAGAGGAGAGGAGAGCAGAGGAGATAGAAGGGGTGGCCCCTTGGCCTCTACTGATACTGTCCTACACAGGCTCAGTCCAGCCTCCTGCATGGGAGCAGCCTGCCTGGCTCCAGAGGGGCCCAGATGCCAGCCTTACCTGCAGTTTCAGCGAGTCGTGGTCATAGGGGCTGGGAGTGAAGTCGGTATGGACTCGTGCCCGGCCACAGAAGGGCCCTGTGTACTGGGGGGCAGGTGGTTCCTCCCCGAAGCTGCCAGAGCCTGGGCTGGGGCTGCAGAGCTCACTGCCTGCAGGAGATGGGGCAGGGAGGAGGCTCACCTTTGTCCCAGATCAGCTGGGGCAATGCACAGCAGGTGCCTTCCAGGGGATCTGTCTAGAAAACCCAGTGGTACACCTGGGGAGGAAAGCTGGGCTCTGGCAAGCCTCACACTGCAGAAGGGGTTCTGACCCATCCCCTTGGCCACCCTGTGGGAGCATGGCTTCACCTCTGGGGCCTCAGACTTGAGAAGAGTTTACAACAGAAGAAATGGCTCAGACCGAAGATTGGGCAAATTGCGAAGGCCTCTTAAGACCAGCTGGGCCAACGCCCCAATAAATAGATGAGGAAATCCGAGGCCAGACAGGCCAAGTGACCTGCCCAAGGCCTCTCACCTCAGAATTAGCAGCACTGGGTCCATTAGACTCCAGGTCTCCCGACTCCCACTCCAGTGCTCCTTCCACCCAGGAAGCCACACCCGGCATTATTTTACTTTCTCTACGTAATAGGACTCAGTGTTTAGTTACAAGGTCACACGGTAACTCAGATAGGCTCTTTCTCCTTTGAAAAGGTAGGATGATGGGCATCTTAAATGGCTTTCAGTGGGGGGTAGGGAGATGTCTGTGGAGCAAGAGAAAGAGCAGGAAACTTGGAATGGGCCTGAGAGGCGAGAAAGTTGGTGCCTCTTCCGGGCTGCGGCCCAGAGCCCATAGCCCCTTCTCTGGGCACAGAATCTCTTGTCCAGCCTCACAGATTTCTAGAAGATGCCAAATGGCACCCCGAGCTCTGCAAACCAAGGTCTGGGGTCCACGAGGCTGACTCTTCACAGCTGGAGACCCTATACCCCACTCGAGCCTGGGATGTCAGGGGCCTGGGGAGCTGTAGCATCTAGCTCCCCTTGGAAGGGTGGGGACAGGCTGGTCCAAGAGGAAAGAGAAGTTCTTCCTCTGCCCTTGAGGCCCTCCAGGGCCTGGGGACAGCCAGTGGCAGCTCTTCCAGAGCAGATCTGAGTTCAAGAGTGGGTCACCTTGGGCAAGTCACTTAACCTCCCTGAGCTGCAGTATCCACATCAATCAAGTAGGGGTGATAGCACTGGCCCATGAGGTTGCTGTTGAGATTTAATGTGAAGACGGCTGGGAAAGTTCCCAGCAGGCAAACAGTAAATGTTCATTTCTCGTGAACCCCTCCAGACAGCCCTCAGGCACAGCTTTAATCCAGCCCTTTCCAGCACATTCAGCAGGTGTCCCCCCACCTCCCCAACTCACCCGTCGAGGCCTGGCGGCTGAGCGCCAAGTGTTCCCGCTCTTCCTGCTCTGAAAAGGGTAGCACCATCTTCTCAGGGCCGGGGCTGTCCAGGCTGCCTTCTGGGGACGTTGGGGAGGCTGAGCCCTCCTCCAGAGTGTCTCCCTGTGGCGAGGGTAGGCAGGAAGACCTGAGCAGCCTCGCAGGGTGCACATGGGGCAGCCCCAAGTGCAGCTCTGCCACTTATGGTCTGAATGACACTTTCTGGGCCCTGGTTTCATCTTGTGTGAAAACGGGAATGACAGTCCTTGCCCTGCCTACCTCACAGAATGAGGCCCAACCGGGGTGCTGTGTGAATGTGCTTTGTCAGTGTCAAGTGCTGAGGTCCATGCAGAAGAAGCCATGGTGGCAGAGGCCTGGCCCAGAGCCACTGCTGTGGTACAGTGAGGCAGACAATGAATGGCACTGCAGAGGAAACTTCTGCCTGTGCTCCTGTGTGCCAGGCCTGCCTGCCGTCTCACTTCATCCTCACAGTGACACTTGAAGGTGAGTGCTGTGGTTGGCCTGAGCTTGCCGATGAAGAGAGATGTTACCAAGGCCCATGGGAACCTACAGCCAAGTGGCCTGACTCCAGAGCTCCTCCCACCTCACCTCACCTTGCCTCCCCTCACCTCAGTGCCCAGGTAACTGTTTAACAACTGGCTCTCTGCGAACAAAAGCCCTGAGGATTTGTAGCATTTGCCAATTCCTGTTATAGATACTCCCCACCATGGCTGCCAACGAGCTGTCATCTTGAGGTCACTGGACAGAGTTGTCTATTTTCCCACGCAGATACTACAGACACAAACAACCTCAACAACAGAGGTAAGAGTAAGAGGTAGCGCGAGAATGAAGAAGGGATGAGTTTTGGAGATTTAGTGGATTACCTTTGTTTTTAATAGAATGTACTTATTTGTGGGTTTATATAATTTGATTTTTTTTTTTTTTTTTTTTTTTTTTTTTTTTTT